TGCTCAGGAAGGACCTCAACTTAAGGATCCTAGGGTTGGCAGCAATGGCAAAGTCAAAGAAGAGGCAGAGATCTGTTGATGCAAAAAACACGAGGCTTGGAAGATCTGCTTAACTTTAGTGCAGGTCCAAACAAGATCCTGACTGACATGGCTAAAGGAAGGAGATGCCAACACGGAGTTTTTCCACATACATGCCAACTCAAGGAGAAGGAAAAACCACATCCACCAACTCCACACAACAAATGCTATCCTGACAGAACATGAAGAGAAGAGTGAGGCACTTTTCCGCCACTTCAACTCAATCTTAGGCAGCAAGGAGACACGAAATTGTATTCTAAACTGGGAAGCGATGGATTTGCCCCAGGTGAACCCAGGCGAATTAGATGGACCCTTCATAGTGGAGGAAATTTGGGCCGCAATAAAGCAGATGCCGGCAGAAAAGGCTCCAGGCCTAGATGGTTTTAATGGTATTTTCTACAAGAGATGCTAGCAGCTAATTAAGCAAGATATTATGGATGTTTTCCAGTGCTTGTATGATCTAGCAGTAGGGAACTTTGGAGCACTCAATAGAGCAGCAATCACCTTGCTACCAAAGAGGAACACACCTACATGGGTCACTGATTTTAGACCAATTAGCCTCATTCACTCTGTGGCTAAGCTGATATCCAAAGTGCCGGCGATGAGACCTACTAAACAGCTAGATGGCCTGATCTCGGTTGCACAGAGCGCCTTTATCAGAAAAAAGGTGCATCCAAGACAACTTCCTGTATGTCAAAAATGTGGTCAGGAACCTAAGTGCCAACAGAAAGCTGACATTCTTTTTCAAGCTAGACATTGCTAGGGCTTTTAACTTGGTTTCATGTGAATATTTGATTGAAGTGATGGAACACATAGGCTTTGGTTCCCGGTGGAGAAACTGGATTTGTTTGCTCTTCGCCACCGTGACCTCTAAGGTAGTCTTGAATGGAGACCATGGGGAATGCATTGCACATAGACGTGGCCTAAGGCAAGGGAACTCACTCTCTCCATATCTCTTTATCCTGGCAATTGACCCCCCTTCAAAGGCTTTTACGTCTGGCAACCGAGCGCGGACAACTGACTAACATTGGGAGTCGCCATGTCAAATTAAGGACTTCACTATATGCAAACGATGTAGCTGCCTTCCTCAATCCTGCACAAAACGAGGTGGATGTTCTCATTAGCATTCTTAGGGACTTTGGCAAGGTGACATGGCTGCATGTTAACCTTGAAAAGAGTCTGGTAGCACCAATCCGATGCCAAGAAGTGGATCTAGATGTCGTTTTGCGCAGTTTTTCTGGGTCAAGAACCAGCTTCTCACTGACTTATCTAGGACTTCCACTCACGCCTGGCCAACTGCGCAAGGTACACTTCCAGCCCCTCCAGGATAAGATCAAGGGTCGGCTGTCGGGATGGAAACCATCATTGCTACATATTGGGGGAGGGGGTGAATTCAGTCCTCAGTGCCATTCCGACATACATCCTCACGATTTTGAAACCGCTGAAGCAATACCTCCAATAAATTGATAAAGCAAGGAGACGCTTCATATGGGTAGGTAATGAGGACATGCATGGTGGGAAATGTAAGGTCAATTGGAATAAGGTTTGCTCTCCCATTTGGTATGGCTGTCTAGGGGTTCCAAACCTAGAAAAAAAATGCTAGAGCTCTTCGGTTGAGATGGCTATGTTTTGAATGGAGGACGCTAGAAAAGCCTTGGATAGGATCTAAAACACCTTGTGATGATTTGGATAAGGATCTAAGTGCGGCATCGACAAGAATCCAAATTGGTGATGGACAATAGGCAAGCTTCTGGGAATTAAACTGGATTGGTGGCCAAAGCTTAAAAAGTCTAGCGCCGAACCTCTGTAGACACTCTAAGAGGAAAAACCGCACTGTCCAGGAGGCCCTACAACATGGAAGATGGATCAACGACATCCGCCATAGCCTCACTATCCTCCATTCAAATAAGACCGGCCATTTGAAAAAAAAAGAATTCCAACTCTTTTCACCAAGCTTGAGGAGATGAATGTCACAACAAGGCCCATGATAGAACACAATCCACTAAAAGCACCAACAATCGATGCACTAATACCTATAAATTATCAAAACAATTACGAAATTGCTATATTTTGTGTCGCCACAAATTTGTTAATTTTATAGTCAGATCACAGACCATCCATGTTTTGCTAGTATTTGCAGTCGACTATCTTCAACATTTGTGCTAGTATTTGCTTTCACTTGGAGATTAAACTATATCACTAATGGATAAATTACTCATACTAATTACATCGTACTTGCACTATAATTACATACTGATTACATATGTAATTTTGGGACTTACATATGTAATTTTGAGACTTACATTGTAAATACACTAAAATTACATATGTAATTTAGGAACTTACATTGTAAATACATGCAGACTAGTTTTTAGTGAAAAATATGGCGCCATAAATATAGTTACTCCCAAACAATTATGTTGTTAGGAGACTTTTCCAGAGTTGCAAATTTGAGCAGTAGTAGTGAAACCTACCACGATGCTGATCACCGGGCCCATCAACGACGACATCAGGCATTTCAAGAGGGAGATGATGAAACACTTCAGGATGAGCGATTTGGGATTGCTCACCTATTACCTAGGGATGGAGGTACGCCAAGGTGGTCATGGCATATCTCTCTGTCAATCCTCCTATGCTCTAAAATTGCTGCAGAAGAATGGCATGAAGAATTGCAATCCCTGTTGCGTGCCGATGGAGCCAAAGCTGAAATTGGTCAAGACAAGTACAAGCCCACCTTTGATGTCACAACTTATTGCAGTATTGTGGGTGCACTGCGGTATCTTGTCAATACCAGGCCGGACCTGGCATTTTCTGTGAGCTATGTGAGCAAGTTCATAGCTCACAGGTTCATGGCCGAACCTCATGAGGATCACTTGGTGGCAGTCAAACACATACTCCGGTACATTGCTGGGACACTGGAGTATGGTGTGCAATACACTAGAGGAGAGGCAGGAAAACTTCGACTATGTGGCTACAACGATAGCGACATGGTCGGGGACGCGGATGATCGCAAGAGCACCACAGGCGGCATCTACTTCCTCGCACAAAGTCCCATCATCTAGCAATCTCAGAAACATAAGGTGGTGGCCTTATCCTCATGCGAAGCTGAGTACGTTGCAGCAACATCTACGACGTGCCAAGGTGTTTGGCTGGCTGGGTTGCTTGAAGAAATCATGGGAGCGCCTCCTGCGACGGCGATGTTGAAGGTGGACAACAAGTCCGCCATTGCACTGTCCAAAAACCCCATCCACCATGATGGAAGTAAGCACATCCAAATTTGTCATCATTATATTCGAGAATGTGTTGAGGTGGGGAAAATCGACATCGACAATGTGAGTTCGTCACTGCAACTTGGTGATCTGCTGACCAAGCCACTGTCTCGGGCTAGATTCCAGGAGTTACGCAAGCTTATTGGTGTCATCAATGCCAAACATGAGCACCACAAGAATTAGGGGGAGATTGTCAGAATAAATCTTGTGTTTTGCTTAGTTGTCGGTTTTTTTGTTGCTTTATCTCCTCCCCTGTTTTTCTCCCCTCTCTGTTGAGTCTGTTGCATGGCCGAATTTTGTTCTGGTATGGGATGGCATTCACTGTGAAGGAGTCATGTCCGAGCATGTCAGGGATCCCATGTTCTTTCATCTTGCAAATTAGGGGGGTGTTTAGATCCATGGGTGTAAAATTTTGACGTCAAGTTACAGAATCCGCCTGTAAACAGCGAGATGAATTCATTAAGCCTAATTAATCCATCATTAGCAAATGTTTACTGTAGCACCACATTATCAATTCATGGAGCAATTAGGCTTAAAAGATTCGTCTCGCAATTTACACGCAATCTGTGTAATTAGTTATTTTTTTCGTTTATATTTTATACTACATGCATGTATATAGATGGCCAAAAGGCCCGCCCGGCACGGCCTGGTCCACCAGGCACCAGCCATCGGGCCGGCACGGCCCGATCGGCACTTCGTGTCGGGCCGTGCCGGCCCATGGGCTGCTCCTCCCGCCCAGGCACGGCCCACCAGCTGTCGGGCCGGCTGGTGGGCCGTGCCGTGCCGGCCCGAAGGCACAGGTGGCCCATCGGGCCTTTTTTAAAATAAGTCTATTTTTCTTCCTCCTCTTTGGGCTGTTACATATGTATAGCTAAAATAAGTCTATTTTCCATCCCTCCTCTTTGGGCTGACATATGTATAGCTAAAATAAGTTTATTTTTCGTCCCTCCTCTTTGGGCTGACATATGTATAGATAAATTAAGTCTATTTTACATCCCTATTCTTTCATCCATAGCATATAATATGTCTATTTTTACTCCCCTATTTTTTTTTGTATCGGGCCTGGCTGCCGGCCCATCGTGCCGTGCCGGGCCAGCCCAACGTGCTGGTGGAGGGGCCCAGGCATGGCCCGGTGGTCGGGCCGGGCCGGCACGGGCCCGACCTCCGTCAGGCCATGCCGTGTTTGGGTTGGGCCAAAATGTCGTGCCATGGGTCGGGCCGTCGGGCCTCGGGTCTTTTAGCCATCTATATGCATGTATCAAACATTCGATATGACATGGTGAAAAGATTTTACCAAGGGATCTAAACATGCTCTTACTTAAGATGCAATAGTGTCCAAGAAAAGCAGCAAGCTTGATACGCAGCACCAAACACTTGTGTTCCAGTTTCCCTTTTGCTCTTGCATACTCGCTTTTGCAGGTTTCATTTCGCTACAGGCTGTGCTCTCGCTAACGAAATTAAACAAATTAAACTACAGCTAGTTAACGTATATTCACAGTTAAATTTATTTTTTTCGTTGTGAGATATATAAGTTGAATTTAAACTTGTATGTTTGTGGAGTGATATATTATATGTTAATACATCTTCTTAAAGTTTTTCAAATTTTTTGATAACCATTTAAGTGACATAAAAAAAATAAGAGACATCCCCTCGAGAAATCAAAATAATAGTGGTATTTTTTTAATACAGTAAAATTTGCAATGGCATGATCCAAAATGACCGACAGACACACGTACGTACGTACATGCATGTATTTTTTTAATACAATAAATTTGCAATGGCATGATCCAAAATGACAGACAGACACACATACACACGTACGTACGTACTCCCTCTGTTTCACAATGTAAGTCATTTTAATATTTCTCATATTTATATTGATGTTAATGAATCTAGACATATATATATCTATCTAGATTTATTAACATCAATATATATGTGGAAAATACTAAAATGACTTATATTCTGAAACGGAGGAAGGACATTATTATTTGTAGGGATTACAATCCATGGGCCCAAGACGGGGTTCATTCATGAGCTGGCGAGGTACGTAGGAGAGCTTAACCTAAGCTGGTGTATGAACTCGTCGATGTACCTCTCATGGAGCTCCTCGTCGGCGACCACCTCTCGCAGCTTGAGGGCGTTGGCGACGAACACCTTCCTTGTTTCTTCGTCTACAATGGCGGCCCGGACCGCGGCGGCGACGCCGTGGCGGTCGAAGGAGCCGTCTGCGCCATCCCTCGCCACCTGCAGCCCCACCTTCCTCGCCTCCATGAGGCGCGCGTTGGGGCCCTGGTCGCCGGCGATGGGGAGCATGACGAGGGGGTTCCCGGCGGAGATCCCCTCCACCAGCGAGTTCCGGCCGCAGTGCGTCAGGAACGCGCCCACGGCGGCGTGCTCCAGTATGGCGATCTGCGGCGCCCAGCCCATGGTGACCACGCCGCGGCTCGCCGTGCGTTCCTGGAAGCCGGGAGGGAGGATGGCGGCGGCGGCGGCGGCGGCGGCGGAGGCGGCGGAGGAGGAGCGGGGCTTTCTGAGAGCCCAGAGGAAGCGCGCGCCGGCGAGCTCCAGGCCGAGGGCGAGCTCGTGCACCTGGTCGACGCGCAGTGGCACCTCGCTCCCCAGCGCGACGTACAGCACCGAGCTGGGCGGCTGGGCGTCCAGCCAGCGGAGGAGGGGGTTGGTGGAGTCGTCGTCTTCTTCTCCGGCGACGGCGCGGCGGCGGCGGGATCCGGCGGGCGATGGCGGGAGGAGGCCGAGGGGGACGAGCGGCTTGCCGAGCCCCGCGGCCACCGCCCGGAACGGCTCGGGCTCCCACTCGACGCAGCTCCGCATGGCCGCCAGCGTGCACCTCTCGAGCGTCAGGGAGCAGCGCGTCGCCCGCGACATGCCGCCCGACGCCGACGACGACGCGCCATGGCTGGTGGCGGCGAGGAAGCTTGCCTTGAGCTTCTCCCACTCGTAGCTGGGCATAGCCGCCGCCGGTGACGGCGACGACGTCGCCGGCGGCGGGACGACCCACGCAGCCATGACGGCGGCGCTCGGGAGGAGGGCCACGCATGGCACCCCGTGCCGGGCGGCGGCGGGGGCGGCCCAGTGGTGGAACGAGTCGGCGATGACCCAGTCGGGCCTCCTCCTCCTTCCGCCGCCGCCGTCGTCGGCGCACGCGGCGGCCAGGAAGTCGGCGAAAGGAGCGGCGAGGCCGTCGAAGGCCTCCATGAGGAGCCCCTGCTCGTCGTCGGGGACGTCGTTGGTGGACTCGGCGCCGTCGGCGAGGCCGTCCACCCGCGGGAGCGGCAGCGCCACGAGCTCCACCGCCGACGCCACCGGCGCCGGGAGGCGCGCGATGTTCCGCGGCGTGGAGACGAAGGACACGTGGTGGCCCCTCGACGCCATGCGCTCCGCGAGCTCCATGTACGGGAGCAGGTGCCCGAACGCCAGCCACGGGAAGATCACAACCCGCAGCGGCGGCGACCCATCTGCGTCCATGGCGATCTTTGCTTGTAACGGGATATTTATATGGGGCTGTCTATACATCTTGTGCTCCCTCCGTTTTAAAATATTTGACACCGTTGACTTTTTAGCACATATTTGACCGTTCGTCTTATTTAAAAACTTTTGTGAAATATGTAAAATTATATGCCTACATAAAAATATATTTAACAATGAATCAAATGATAGGAAAAGAATTAATAATTACTTAAAATTTTTAAATAAGACGAACGGTCAAACATGTGTTAAAAAGTCAACGGCGTCAAACATTTCGTAACGGAGGGAGTACTTCCTCCATTTCATACTATAAGACTTTCTGGTATTGTTCACATTCATATACTCCCTCCGTTCCAAAATATAAGACATAACTATCCTTAATCCAAAGACCAAAAAACAATTATTATCACCTCCTAATTTATATCACTTTAATAAATAAAATGCACACACTCAATAGAATTAGAGATCGGTACGGTGGAGGATTTTAAAAAATCATAATTTAATGGAAAAGAGGTACTAATTAATTGCATGCATGCACGTCTTATATTATGGAACATCTGAAAAAAGTAGTTGTGCCTTATATTATGGAACGAAGAGAGTATATGTTAATAAATCTAGACATATGTGTGTGTCTAGATTCATTAACATTTATATGAGTGTGGGCAATGCTAGAAAGTCTTCTAACCTAAAACGGATGTGTATTTATTATTTAGGGGGTGTTTAGATCTATGGGTGTAAAGTTTTAGCGTATGATATCGGATATACGGACACGCATTTGAAGTATTAAACATAGACTAATAACAAAACAAATTACAAATTCCGCTTGTAAAGCCTAATTAACCCATCATTAGCGAATGTTTACTGTAGCACCACATTGTCAAATCATAGAGCAGTTAGGCTTAAAAGATTCGTCGCGTAATTTACACGCAATCTGTGTAGTTATTTATTTATTCGTTTATATTTAATATTTTATGTATGTGTCAAAATATTCGATGTGATAGGGTAAAAAATTTTCTAACAGGCCCTTAATCGGACGCTGACATCCTACCTTTCGCATGGTCTGTCATTACTCATTAGGAGCAAATTGGCAGACACAAACAGTAGAATGAGTCCGATGCTTTACCGTCAAACTGTGTTTTGAAATTTTTTCACTGTAGGTACAGTTAAAACACTGTGACGGTTCACTGTTCACCCATAATGTAGCAATTACTACCTCGTTCGTTCATCGTGGATCGGACGCGGCGGCTGAGATTGCCCCTATCTCAATCATCAATCATATATGAGTCCACTGTGTCTATAACATGTGGGTCCAGTAGTAAAAAGTTAATTGTCACATCTAAATGTGACAAATAGTTAAATATATATCTCACTTTATCAAGCCAATAGCTTTCGGGTTAATTTACCTTATCCCCTCATTTCTCTTAGGCACCTTATCCACTTATTTCGCTTAGGGCAAGTTTTACACTTGATGTAATTATCACATCTAATATTATACACATCATCAATTAATTTATTACGGGCAGATCATACACCAAATTACATCTAATATACTAGTCCGAATGTAACATAATTATTTATTTATCCACTCTTATCCAATCAACTCACTCTTTTCCCTTTCTTTCTTAAAATTTGTGAAGAGTTTGCTCCTTGCATAGATTCATCCTCTCTATCATCTCTTCTCTTCTCCACCTCATCATTTATACTTATGTGCCATCTAGTGGATTGTGCTTAGGTGCTTATAGCACTTGCCCTTACGTTGTATTCTTTGATGTGACCACGTGAGTTGGGAATCCCCATACACATAAAACGGAGCAATATATTAACGCATAATTAATAAAGTAATAATACTTACAAATAGATTAATATGATTTTTTTAAAGTAATTTCTCTAAAAAAAACTTTTGAAAAAAAATATACCCGATGTTTTTTTTATGTTTCAACTAATATATCTTTGATGTTTCTTGGGGTTGGATCGAAATGTTGCACTTCATAATCTGATCTTGTTTCATCGATACTTGCATATCTGTTGATGATTCAACGGTTGAAGCTCGATGTTCCATTTGTTAGTTATCGTGATCCAACTATGTTTCAGCATTTTGATAGTTGAAACATTTTTTATTTATAGTGGTGAAACATTTTTCTACAGGAAGTGAAAGAGCACCCGATTTTCTTTGTTTGTTTTTTTTTTTTGGGGGGGGGGGGGCATCGGATGCCTGATTTGTATTCTCCTCCTCGATGCGGTCATTATCTATTTTTCATGTGTAACCATTCACTGTGTGTATATATATATATATGCATGGAGGTACTCGGATCATGATTTACTACTAAGTTTGATCATTCGGCATATTCAGAAAATGTATATAAACATTATTTATTTATAGTGATTTATTTCAATATTAAAGATATTTTAAAAAATAGTTTAGTTTTTTAATATTTGCATTTTAAAAATGAATGACTGAAAAGTCAGCTGTGTCAAAAATATATGTATCTATGATTTGAAGGGAGTACTTCGTTTTTCTCCAAGGGAGACGATGGCTTTGCATCCTAAGTCAATGTAGCAATATTTTCAACACTAAATAAACATATGATAAAAAGAATTATTCAACTGTGGATCAGATGAAATTAAGTTGGGGTTAAATGTCACTACATCTTTCTCAATAATTGGTCCAAATTATTTTAACGTTGATATAATTTAAAGAAGTTTAACTTGGGACAAAATTAGAGCATCTTACATTCTGAAATGGAGGAAGTAATTTAACATGGCTAGCATTATTTGATTGTAGTTGGTGTAGGCTATTTTTTCTGTTGCAAACTTGCAATGTACTATAGAGATGCATCATACCTGCGTTATCTCTCAAATTGGAGGGAGATTTTCAGTGCACGCGAATCGTGAAAGTTTATTAGCACATGATTAATTAAGTATTAATTATTATAAATTTGAGAAATAAATTTATTTGATTTTTAAAATAAATTTTACATAGAGTTTTTTAAAAAACATACCATTTAATATTTTAAAAATGTGCTAACGAAAAATGAAAAAAAAAATTGGAGTTGATTAACTTGTACTTTGTGTTAATCAAGAGGGGTGTGAAGGTGAGACAGGTGTAGGGAAGCAATGTCTGCGAGTAATCGATGGATTGGTTGTCGGCCCATCCCCATTCTAGTACGGCCCACGTTAGGCACCGTCTTGCACTGTTATCATTGAAAGCTAGGAGTACAGGAGTAGGTTTAGTTCCTAAAATTTTTTCCCAAAAACATCGCATCGAATCTTCAGGATGCATGTATGGAGCATTAAATATAAATTAAAAAAAATAATTACACAGTTAGGGAGAAAATCATGAGACGAATCTTTTGAGCCTAATTAGTCCATGATTAGCCATAAGTGCTAAAGTAACCTATATGTGCTAATAACGGATTAATTAGGCTTAAAATATTCGTCTCACGGTTTTCAGGCGAGTTATGAAATTAGTTTTTTCATTCGTGTCTGAAAACTCTTTCCGATATCCAGTTAAACATCTGATACGACACCTAAAAATTTTCTTTTCGCGAACTAAACAGGCCATAAGCCAAAGTTACAAGACCATTGTTTTCAAACGTACGGCGTTGCTGATATTGAACTTAATGTTTAGCTGTTTCTCTTATTTAAATGTTTAGTGAAAATATAAGTCATACTTAAAATATCTTTAGTGATAACACAAATCATAACAAAATAAATATTATGTCGCCGTTTGAGGTCGCGATTCCGGTATTTGCATAGTATGGGGATTGTTGGTACCAGGGTATATGCGAGACTGAGGTAAAAGAGACGGAGACGAGGATTTTTATATAGGTTCGGGCCCCTGAATTGTCAGGTAATAACCCTACATCCTGTTGGCCGAAGCCGGTCGTTGCTCTTATTCATCATAATCATACTAGTACAATATTTGGGGTAGCATATCTAACTGTTGTCGACATGACGGTCTGAAGGTCTGACTCGTAGTCGACAACAGGGTAGTCTTCCTCCTCGAATCCGTGCTCGGCGAGATCAGAGATAGCGCTTTCGTCTCTCCTGACAGTATCCGGAGACACCGTAGGGGACTAGCCGTGCTTATCCCTGAAGTCGATATCTGGCGTCTTGTCTTGGCGTATGTTGGCTTGTATGTTGTGGCTTCTTTTGTTCCGTCCCGTCTATGGTGGGTGTAGATTGTGTAGATTGTCCGTGTATGTTGATTGTCCCCTCTCCTTCTAGGGGGTCTTGTATTTATACCCATAGGTGTTCCCTTGTCCAAGTAGAACTAGGAAAACTAATATGGATACAATCCGAGTAGTTCTTGTCATTTCCATGTAGAACTCTGGTTGTCTTTCCTTATCCGGAACTCCTCCTATATCTGAAGGTTGTTTCCGTATAAGACATGGTATGTGGTGGGTCCTGACGAGATTTAAACAACTACTATTAGGTATGTGGTATCCATAACCCTGACAGTAGCCCCCGACTTCAATGCAAATGAACAAATTTATATTCTCAACCGCAGACCTTGGAGTAACTGTTATCGAGCTCACGTAATCGTTCTCGATGAGTTCAGAGATAACGTTAGACTTCCTTTATCAGCCTCGTGCGGGCACCTAAAGGGTTTGTTTGAGTCAATCTCCGATGTCAACCAAGAAAGTACATAGCATACGACTAAGTCTCCCGTCTTGCCGTAATCAAGAATTTGGATTGAAGTAAAGAAATTTTATCTCGGCGGGTACACCATTTCTTCATTTCGTATTCCTTGTCGAGATCCCCCAACTGTTCTCGAGAGATCGAGAAGGTGCAGAGCCTGCGACGGAGCCTTGTTAACATTTGTTGTACTCGTCTTAGTCGATCTTGGTGTAGAACCATAGAGACATGGAGTCTTCGTCAATGTTGAATAGAATTTTCCTAAAATCAATACTCAGAAAAGAATATTAGATAGAAATAGCCCCCGAGTGAACGCTCAAAGGGTGACATGTTATAATATATATGAAAAATTGAAAATGAATTAAATTTACAGACCAATGTTTTGTGTATGAGCATCTTCTCTTTTACCGACTTCGATCAGTCAGTTTGGTGAGTCATACACTCTCCCTAGCCCCTAGCCTTGTCGTCGGAGAATCGCTCTCGGAGCATAAGGCTCTTGGGCCCTTGAACTGCCTTGGTTGAACAAGCATTGATCCTAGCCCCCAGCCGTGAAGTTGGAAAACCCAATTTCCGATTACACGGCTTGGTTAATACGTACGGCGAGAACTCTTACATGACCAGATCTTACATGGTCTTTTGTCTCTACAGGATCCGACAAGGCCTTATCGGCTCTGGGCGTCCCCAGCCAAAGTTCCCTTAGGTTCCTCGGAGGCCTTGTCAGGACGGCGTAAAGGGACATGAGGATAGGTTTCAACGCTAGGTATCGTCGTGGTAAGGGATCTCTGGGTAAAACACTTGGTGATATTGTGTACCTGATATCAACTTTGTTGGAGTAGAGGTAGTGGGAGGATCGCTACACCTCTGGTCAAGGACCAGTTAGTAGTCGTAACTTGACCACTTGAAGTAGAAATAGTGGGAGAATCGTTACACCGCTGGTCGAAGACCAGATAGTAGTCGTAACTCGACCACTTAAAGTGGAAAAAAGTGGGAGAATCGCTATACCGCTAGTCGAGGACCAGATAGTAGTCGTAACTCGACCACTAGAAGTGAAAATAGTGGGAGAATCACTACACCGCTGGTCGAGGACCAGATAGTAGTCGTAACTTGACCACTAGTAGTGAAAATAGTGGGAGAATCGCTACACCGCTGGTCGAGGACCAGATAGTAGTCGTAACTCGACCACTAGAAGTGAGGCGAGAGAGATCACTACGCCCTACTGGTTTGAGAACTAGGACTAGGAATCTCTCAGTCACCTATAGGGGCGCTAAAGTTGGTTTATTACATGTGCATATCATATAGCCAGCATGACTCACATACCCAACTTATAGCATATCCGGATATCCGCTCGCAATCATGTCGGGTGATCAAGCCGATGACGTTCGCGAGAATTATCCATTAACAACCTTTTCTCGAGTAGTCCAGCCATGGCCGGTGCTATGAGATAGGTCGTCGGTCTTCGTTGGTGGGTTGGGCGCGACGACTCTGCATTTGTCGAGATCGTTCTCGATAATGCGGTGTACTCGACCACAACCTACTCGAGTGCTCAATTGTTCCTGAAAAAATATTTTCTAGAAGACACGATATATAGCAGAGAATATCGAGCATGTACTCAAAAGACTGCATAGATCTTCTAGTATTATTAGGATATAACGAGCAGATGAAATATCAGGCATTATGCAAACCGTAAACAAGCATGATTTATACGGAAGGAAATGAAGCGAGCCCCCAGCGTTAAACCGTAGTCGATTTAACATCGGGGACACTCTTGCAATATATATTGTACAAAAACATGCTCTAGGTAAACATAATAAATTATTAATCTGACAATGCTGTATGATCTGAATAGGTACAATAAATTACATATAAAATATTGCGTACCTTTGTAGATATATGCCGGATATATCTACGGAATTAGTAGATCAATTTAAAAAATTAATCTTACTAAATACCTGTAACATACCGAAAATTAGCTATTTTCTAATCTTGCATCATGCCGGGTCTTATGTTCTTAATAACCTTCTAAATCTAGGAAAATATAATTAGAGAGAGACCTCCTAAAACTAACTCGCATAAAACCTCTTCTTTTATTTCTTTGTGATTCTCTTTTAAAATTTATCTTGAGATATTTCTTTGATTTGGTTTTAATTTAAAACCTTCTTTCGACTAAAATTCTTTTATTCAAATTTAGTTTGAAAACCCTTTCTATTTTTACGAATTATGGTCCAAGAAAATATTCCAAACCAAATCCTTTCCAATTCCAATTTTATTGAAATTAATTGTTAGCCCATTCTTTGATTCTCGATCCAAATATCTAAATTCCTCCTTTTAATCTAGCCACCAATTTAATCTCTGTGGCTTGATTTCCTCTTCGGCACAAGAATAGTATTATTGCAAATATTGTGAATAATTGCTCTTGTGCTAAGAAAATTCCAACTTATACTCTTCACTCAACTTCCCCTTTTAGCCACAAATATACATAATACCAATTTTAGAATTCAAATCCTATCTATTCCCTTCAACTAATTCCTTTGTATATTCCCAAAAATGTTTTGAGGAATATTATTAATTTCCCTTCCTATTTGAGTGCTTCCAAATAAATTCCCTCAAACTCCACCTCCAAATATTGCACTCAAATAAATTAAGAAATCTCTTTTATGAATTCTCTCCGAATTCAAATTCTTTGCGAAACCTAGCCATCCAAATCAATTATTCAAATTAGACATCTTCCTTTTTATCATTGGGCCGAAACTCCTTTCCTTCTTCCTTTTTGGTCCAATCCTTTTACCTTCTATTTCCTCCTCCCTCTTGGGCTGCCGGCCCAGCTAAGCCGAGCCGGCCCAAGTCGGCCCATAGCTGAGCCGCCCCTCCTCCTCCCGCAAGCGCGCGTGCCGTGCACGCGCACGCCGCCGCCAACGCTTTCCGTCGTCACGAAGTAATCGGCGCCGTCTTTTCTTTCTTCACGCCAGCGTCGCCGTGGTCAAGCCGTCGACCGCCTCCAGAACCGCCTCTCCCCACCGCCCCTCTCCCCTATAAATAGCCAGAGAAACCTCCCTCCTTTTTCCATCCATCCGAGCTCTCTCTCTCTCTCTGTCTTCTCTCTACCATGACCGGCCACCACCATTGCCACCGGCCGATCTCCTCTTCCACAGCCCTACATCCCAAAACCTTGCGCCATTAGCTCGGCCTCGATGAGGTGAATCCATTTTGCCCCTTTCCCCCTTCTCTCCCCCTTTGAATCAAGCCATCACCACCACCATCCATGTCGGCCGGAGGTAAGCACTTGCCGCCGCCGTTCCGGCCTCTTCCCTCACTCCCTTTGCCATACGACTGCCTCCTTGGGTGCGCGTCTCTCGGGAACATGTTTCCCCGTCAACGTCGTCGTTCCCCGCCAACTAGAGCACCGGCGCCCCTCCTCTCCCTCTTCTCTGTGTTCGGCTGGAAGAAGAAGCAGAAGGAGAGAGGATACGGGAGGAAGAAGAAGAGAAAAAGAAAAGAAAAGAATCTCCCTGACAGGTGGGCCCATCAACAGTAGCCTTTCATACTTTTCTAGATTTAATTCAAATCCCAATCTTTAGAAGCCCATATCTCCTAAACCGTAGATCCGATTCCGATGAAACTTGGACCTAAATTCATCTAAATTCAAAAGCTACATTTTGATATCAAATTTGCTATTTTACTATTTGAAATTCCTTAATGCCATTTGAATTTATATTTGACTTTCAAATATTTCCTTTTTACCCAAAATTACTCTTTAGCCACTAAACAACCACCGTTTGGAACTTTACGCCTTCCATGAGGACGTTCGCATGGTCTACTGACCTCAACGTCGAACTGTTGGTTGTAAAGTTCGACAAAACTCAAACCTAAGGTCGAAGTGTTGCTTCTGACACCTTACGCCTCAATGCGTATAACTGAGCAGAGCTTCACTATTCCCTCGACCTCAGCTGTACACCGCACAGTTAGCTTTTAAGCTCTGTGTGATCCTAGCCGCTCCGTCGCCACCCACGGTTGTCGGAGTAACACTTCCACCCCGCTAAACCTACACAAACTTCCTATCCCTCTAGCCGTTATATTGTCTGTTGACATCGGCTAGACATCAAACCTAGTCATCATACTACCCAATTCTAATGACGACTAGCAAACACCCAAATCCCAGCCGATATTCATCCTACCTCGATATTGGCTTAATCAAATGAAACTCTAGCCAGCCAGCCTGCTATCCAAACTCCATACCAGCCATTTACCCTCCAACTACCTATAGCTTAAACATGAAATACGAGCCGATATGCTATCCTATTTTAGCATCGACTCGAGAACAACTAAACCCTAGCCACTATTCCACCAAAGCCTAATCTTGATCCCCTCTCCAACCTAGCCTCCAACCCCTTAGAGCCTACACATAAAATACTAGCTCAATAACCCATCAAGGAGATAGTTATACCCCAAACCTAGCCTTTCTCGCGCTTCATCGTTTTCTTGCTATTTTATGGCATTTATTCAATTTGGTTCTTCCTTTTCTTTAATAGAGTCTATTTTATTCTGGATGGCAACATGTGGCATTTCGAGCATCGGATAATCAGGTTGCCTATCTCGGATTTATTTGCGTTGGAGCAAGGCAAGTTATTATTCCTCCCCTTGAGCATAATTACCCTATATTCTATATCTCTTTTCTATGCATTAGTCATTCATGATTTTGAATGCATAACCTGAACATATAGCAAACCAGATATGCTAGCTTTTGCTTAGCCCTGCCTAGTTAGATTATGCATAAAATTTAATGAACTTAGATTGGGACAGTACGGTAGAAACGGTTGATTTCCGGGTGGCTAGTAATGTTCCAACCGACATAAGACTGCCAAGTACATGTGAAGAACATACGAGTACGACCGCAATCCTCGTATGGGCATAGACCTAGCTGATTAAGTTATCTAGCAAAGATGGTACCTCTGTATAGTGGTTCTTCTTAAGTCCTCGCGCAGGAGGCAAATTTATGCCGCGAAGGGCAATTGTGATATTTACCGAGGCGCAAGTAAATATATGAGATTTATTGACGTCAACTTGTTTGTGAACCCTGATTGCGATGACATGGTGTCATACAATCAGTTCTCTCTAAAGACCCCGGGAACGCCAGAACTCCTCTCGCTGCTGATAACGTTACGTTCAGAGCACATGGGGATTATAGTTCATGGAACAGGTACCACTGATGTTAGTAACCAAAAAGCTTTGCCATGACAAGGCTAATGTGTTTGGCACGTCATGGATTGCGGGTAAAGCGTACATCTACTGCAGTATGAATATTCTCAAAACTATTCGAATAGCCGTGCTCGCGGTTATCGGGCATTGGGACTCACAATGGCATCTTGGTTAGAAACTTAATTCCAAACTTTATTAAATATTGTTGCATTTAAAACATTACAGGCTTTCTCCCTCTATATTCTTTGCTTTCTGCAAGTAAACCTAGCTCTACACAAATATTACCATTTCATCTATTCATTGTTGATTAATATAATAGCTTGCTGAGTACGTTGTACTCACCCTTGCTTCAACCTCCTTTTTCAGAGTCCATTTGATGTTCTTGCCGAAGTCAGGAGTTCAATCACATAAGTTAATTCCCTTTTAACTTAATCTTCAAGTTTAGGTTATTTAGATGGTTTAAGTCTATAGTAAAACAGCAGAGTTAGGTCATTCTAAAGCTTCTGTTGTAATAGTTAGCCACAATCTCGTAAACACCCTATTACTTTATGTAATAATATCTCCTTCAAAGCTATGTCTAAACGTATGCAAAGACGATCCAGATTGTTGAAGCTGTATCAACTTATTGATCCAGGGCTTGATACAGTTAAACATGTCGGTTTCCGAATCATTAGTTTTGGGATCCGACAATACCTTACTGCGTACTCGTTCGACATCATATGATCTGACGTCTTTTGGTACGCCACGTATCTTGAGGTTTGGTCGATCTTGAGAGATCGAATTGTTGATGACGATGGTTTCAATCTCGTCGGGAGACATACTCCGGTCAGGTTGGATCTCCCCACAGCGAAGTCGTCGAGTAGCTTGTTGTCGGAGAATCCATCTCTTAAACCCATCTCGTCGAAAACCTTTAAGCACCAAAAATCCCCCTACCTGGCGCGCCACTGTCGACGTTTGATGTCGCGATTCCGGTATTTGCATAGTATGGGGATCGTTGGTACCAGGGTATATGCGAGATTGAGGTAAAAGAGACGGAGACGAGGATTTTTATACAGGTTCGGGCCCCTGAATTGTCAGGTAATAACCCTACATCCTGTTGGCCAAAGCCGGTCGTTGCTCTTATTCATCATAATCACACTAGTACAATATTTGGGGTAGCCTATCTAACTGTTGTCGACATGGCGGTCTGAAGGTCTGACTCGTAGTCGACAACAGGGTAGTCTTCCTCCTCGAATCCGTGCCTGGCGAGATCAGAGATAGAGCTTTCGTCTCTCCTGACAGTATCCGGAGACACCGTAGGGGACTAGCCGTGCTTATCCCTGAAGTCGATATCTGGCGTCTTGTCTTGGCGTATGTTGGCTTGTATGTTGTGGCTTCTGTTGTTCCCTCCCGTCTATGGTGGGTGTAGATTGTGTAGATTGTCCGTGTATGTTGATTGTCCCCTCTCCTCCTAGGGGTCTTGTATTTATACCTATAGGTGTTCCCTTGTCCAAGTAGAACTAGGGAAACCAATATGGATACAATCCGAATAGTCCTTGTCGTTTCCATGTAGAACTCTGGTTGTCTTTCCTTATCCAGAACTTCTCCTATATCCGAAGGTTGTTTTCGTATAAGACATGGTATGTGGTGGGTCCTGACGAGATTTAGACAACTACTATTAGGTACGTGGTATCCATAACCTTGACATATTCATAGCTAATTTGTTAATAAGATAAATAGTGAAACTTCATGTCCATCGTCTATTAATCAAAGGTAATTTTATACTTATATTCTTTTTCTTCCTAGAAATTTATTAATTCTAAAGTTAAGGCTATGTGAAAAGAAAAACTAAATTAATTATAAAATTAACTTCTAAAACGAAAGCATAAGTGGTGTGGTGATGGAGTCGTGGGTGTATGACTCCATCCACTGGGTGCTCATGAATATTGCGCATATGTATGTGGACTTTTAACATGATTTTATAAAATTGGAGATGCGTTGGTTTTCGTCTCTTTTCTACGTGGTTTAGTTAGGAGGCGCACTCGCGCGTGTATGTGTTGTTGTGTGTAGTGGTGCATGCGCATCTGCGTCTACGTGTAATAAAAAAATAACTTCTAAAATCTTTTTCTTTTCTTGGAATTAACTTCTAAAATTTAAAATTGGTCGTGGCTCAAACAAACTGGCACTTAGCTAGCCACTCGAGTAGGTTGGACGAGAAAAGGTTAAAGAAAAAAATAGCGAGATTAAACGTATGAAAGAGCGAGAAAAGTCTGTGTCCGTGGGTATTTCATCTCACATTCTCACCCACTTTCTAAGTTTCTATCTTCACGCTATCAAAAAAAAAAGTTTCTATCTTCACTGTTCACTCTTACGGTGAAATCCATGAATGTTGGAAGTCTAGTGCAGTGGTGAATACCTTTGTGGAATTTTGGACAATGGAACGTTCACCAAGACATTAGTTTTTTTTATTATTAATTACTTGTATAAACTTATAAAAAATACAACAAAGTTAAAATATTTTGAGACCTTTTCTTTGGACAAATCTAGCCCTGCTATTTTCAAGAGTTCAATAAAAGTATTTAAAATAAAGAGATTTTGATGATTAAAGTTTTTAACATGTGTATTGCATGCAACACAAAATACCATCCCTCATTTCTCCTCACGGCTGACAGATTCCAAGCATTTTTTAGCCTTGAAATGGTCACAATTTTCACTGAAGACACCGAGCCGGTTAGTATGAAGTGGGTCCACTCCTATGTTCTTATGCTCATATCAGGTTTCACAAATGTTTGATTAACCAGCTGATCCATAAGCTCCATGTTGGCAGTATTTCAGTTGGTTAAAAGAACAAAAGCCCATTTTACTCCTCCAAACTAATTCAATGATCTAAACCTCCTAAAGTATTATTTAGCTCATTTTACCTCCAAACTATTAAAAATGATTCACTTTACTTCTTAATAATATTTCTCTTGTTTTAATCTCCATACAAGTTTTATTTTAAGCTAAAATTTGTTAGAGCATACTAGACGGCACCAGTACCAAAGTTTAAACAATATTCAGTTTTTTTCAGGGCCGTTTGCTTGAACTTTAAAAATCTTGATGTTTAAACCGGTGTTAAGTAATTCCAACCTACATAAACAGTGAAATTTCTTTAAAATATGTTAGGATGTACCCCTCCGTCCAAAAAAAAATCAATTACTAGCTATGAACCTGTACACATGTAGGAATTGGTTTTCTTGGGACGGAGCAGTAAGTTGTAACACATCTAGCATCCTACCAAATTTGCAGTGCAAGATATGACTTAAATGCAGAGAAATAAAGAGAGAAATAGTGTTTATCAGGGGAGGAAAGTAAAATATTTTTAATAATCCGGGATGTAAAATTAGAAAAAAAAATTGAAGTAAAGTGGACTTTTTCCGTTGCATATCTGTGTGTACTGTGTGTGTGTGTGTGTGTGTGTGAGAGAGAGAGAGAGAGAGAGAGAGAGAGAATGCTATTGATTTTGTTATTGCAACTGATTGTTATGGTGCTCTACATCAGCTACAAGCCTACAAAAAACAACTAAGCCCATGGTAGATGAACTGTACAGCATGTGAGGTGAAAAAAAAGGGTGTACAAGTTGAATTCTACGCATGGCTTGGGCTAATAGTAACAAATGACTGTATCCTAAGTGTATATTGTATTGAATCAAAATGTCACAGCGTCTTCAGGGCATTGCAGAGCCCTCTTCTGACGCCAAGCACACGCAGCATGTGATGTAACTTTCCCAGCTACTTTAGAACATGCCTTGTTCATTATCTGCAAGATGAGATAGTGGTGTTTTCTGTAAGTTTCACTTCTATGTAACAGAAGCTCTATCCAACAATTGAACTATTGAAGTGCCATCTTAGATGATTGTCATATGGTACATTTCTTTGTGCAATGAGCGAATGGCGATGTAACGTTTGATATTTGTAATTTCAATATTCAAGATCATATGGTAAATTGGGAAAAAGAAGTGGCACAAAGTTCTTGCTACGTCCAGTATGGAAGTCAAATACTCTGAACTCTAGTATCTTTCTTAACAAGGTGATGGCATGAATGGTGTTTTTTTTTTTACTTACATTGGTTCAACTTGGAAATGGGGATCAAACATGAACAGTTCCCTCTGCTCATCTGTAGGATTTCCCAACCACTGGCAGAACATCCATGCCGCACCAGCAACCGATGACACGGATAGGATTGCCAAGAAACCGAAATGAGAAACGTCGTTTGCGATGATGGCCATACCAAGCATGACTAGTTCTGCAAGGCTTGATATTGAGACCTCCATTCCACCAATAAGATTTGCTTTTGATGCAGGAACACCTGTTTGGAGAATCTGTGTACCCACAACATCATATGACATGTGCCCCAACCGAGATAATGCCTGCAAAAACAACACGGAACATGCACATGGATTAGTACTCTAATTTTGTTAAAAGTCTATCGAATTGGAACAAGTTTCAGGGATTTCGTCCTCACGATAGCAGCCAGGAAGATAAGTAGAGGTGTCCTCTGTGAAATAGAACCAGTCCAATACACTACGAGAGCGACCGACAAGAGTGAAGCTTGAACTATCAATCCAGCTGCTCCTGCCTGGTATAACATAAGACAGTTGTGTCAAATTATAAATTTGTAACATAATATAAACAAACGAAAATAAGTAAGAATAACTCCAACCTTTAGAATTCCAACTCTTTCCACCAAGCTTGAGGAGATGAATGTCGCAACAAGGCCCATGATAGAACACAATCCACTAAAAGCACCAACAATCGACGGACTAATACCTATAAATTATCAAAACAATTATGCTGTTAAGAGACTTTTCCAGAGTTGCAAATTTGAGCAGGAGTAGTGAAACCTACCACGATGCATCAATAGCGCAGTCATTATAGCACCAGGAGCAAGTGCTACATTGAAATTTAGAAACACGGTAGCTACACTTGCAGGTAGAACTGTTTGCTGCTTATACTCATTCCAGCCATTTCTGATAGCACTCAAGCCATTTTGAACTGAAGGTTAAAGAAAGTATTAGACTCTACAGAAGTGAAATGAAATAAGAAACTCAATCATCCAAGCTCCTCACCAATCTTACGAACATCCAATAGATTGGCACAGATAGATTCTTCACTCGGGGTTCTAGAGGAATCAAGAGCATGGCAGGAGAATCTGTTAATCAGTTGACCCAACACAACCTGAAAGTCCATGTAGAATCTAGTTAGTGTACTGCATCTGGTTGTTCAAGTTTTAACTTAATTAGGAAGTACTACTAAGGAACATGAAATATACCAGGACAGGGAAACTGCATATCATTAGACCACAAGCAATCTTCAAACAGGTTACTGGATGATATTTGGACAGCAGAAGGCCAAAAACTGAAGCACCAACAGTCTGTAACCATACTAAACTGGTTATGCAACTATAACTTGTCAACTCAAAATAAGAGATTCCATAAAGCGGTTACTAAATAAACCATTAAGATAACAAAATCAAGCAAACAGTCTTGTGGCCTGCTCCCATAATTAAAGAATGTGCTCATATGAAGCTTGAAAATGTTAGAAACATCTCACCTCACAAACAAGATCAAGTCGATTAAGCACAGCGTTAGCTTGAGCTAATGCAACTGGCCTGTTAGTTCCTGCTAACTTCATAGAGAAAAAAAAACAAGGAAGAAAGCTGATCAGACCCAACAAAAGACAGCTAGCTATTCTAAAATCTGAAGTGTCTTTTATGATGTCAAGCCTTCCATTTCAATTTTGTTTCTTAGTTCCATTTCATAATATGGATTTTGTACAATGGGAATACACAATCTATAAAATATATCTGGATAAGTAACCCTACCAACACAACCCAGTCCCGCTCCATAGCAACTCCTAGTGCCAATCCTGCAAGCCTTTCAATAGCTCCAGCTGCCACTAGTGCGATAAACCAAGGTTTGAGAACTACGGCGGACGTAGATGCATGGGTCACATTCTTCATAGCATAGATGACCATTGCAGCTGATATCAACTGAGTGGCTACCTGACAGAACAGGTTGCACACAGAACAGGCATGAATACAGGATTTTTGCAACTCCGATATAATCTAATTTGGCTTTATATCATCCAGAACATAAGGAAAAAAAGGACGAGTACCTGGACAGCATTCAACCCTGTGTACATAGGTATTCGAGGGAAATGATCCATAAGTTTCCCTACTATTGGTGCCCCAATAAAGACTGAAAGCTGGATATCATAAAACAAATTAGATTATTGAAACAAAAAATATTTCTTGAATTTAGTCACTTAGTACTGTGGCGAATACCTTTGTGAAGAAACCGACAATAGCCACAGGCAATAGGCTTGGATGGAGAATTGCCAGTGCAGCAGGCCAAGCAAAATTCCAAAGTTGTTCCACCAAGTTACCAAATAAGTAGCTAGCGTATAGAGCTGCATCAATCATACACGATGTTTAAAGGGTCTTCAAAACTCCATGCTAGATATTATATTATAATAGTAAAAATAAATTACTGGAGGTCAGCTTTGCTGCTTCAGCCAAGAGCTAGGCTTTGAAAATATTAACTAGCTGCCAATTATGAAATATTAAAATAGACTAAACAGTAGATATTATGGTTACACAAATCCATTTCCATCAAAAAAGAACTGTGCAGTGAAGTGAAGGCACTAAATAGTGCAGAAAGATAATCCAGTGACATGATCCAGAAATTCTCACGCACCATATAATCCAGCAGGGTGGGCAGGGGTGGCCGCTATAGTATGTAGCTCACCCTCAGACAAGACCTACATCACAAACAGACTGTCACAAGAGTACAAATAAAAATGGTATCTGACCAAGAGCATCGGGAAAGAAAGAAGATCATACGGGTAGCTCTTCAAAATCAGTAGAATGGGAAGCACTCTCATGCAGGGGAAAAGGACTAGCATCCGGAACATCTCGTAGGTGTACAACTGGAATGGCGCAGGCTGGCAACAATGGTGGGTGATCATCTAGAGCCTCTTGTTCACTCGTATGACTAACATCAACCTCAACATTTGTGATGTAACACCTTGGGACAAAATTGCTTAACCTGGCAAAATAGTAACCAGTCATTGATATTTTGCCAAATCCTAAAATTAAGAGGCACTCCAAGTAAACATTGTTTTGCGATTTCCACGCTGGTTTAATCATCACAAGACCAGAACAAAAGCAACATACATTGTCACAAGCTCAGTCCACTAACCTAACATACATCAAAATCCAATAAAGGGTTTAATGCTGAACTGATTCACATTCACAATCAACACTTAAAACTAAATCTGTTAAGCAGCATGAGTGACCAATCACAGACATACCAACCACACTTGTTATTAGCTAATTTTACCCTATATCATAAGGTCACCATCACAAAGGTCTGAACAAACCAATGATAAGAAAAAAAAATCAAAATACCAACACCACTGCACTTCATAGCTCCCAAAGAAGCGCAACCTATCCCAACTCCTATCTCTTCTTCACCACCACCAACAACAACAACACATGAATCTCAAGAAAGAACTTTCCGAACCACCAATCTTCCCCGGAACAAAAATTCTCAGGCAAAATCCCCACCATATTGCGTGCTGTTGCATAAAACTTAACTGACGCATCCAGGCTACGCTAAGACAGTAGTAACTAGCAAGCAAGCAAGGCAGGCAGGCAGCCACTCACCTGAGCGGCGGGGCGGCGTGGGGAGGAGATGAGCTGGCCGGCGGCCTCAGCCGTAGCCCGGGCACCACGAGGTGACACCGCCTTCCAAGATGACCCTGCGGCGGCGAGGCGAGGAGGGCGGCGGCGGCGGTGGCGGTGACCATCCCCATGCTGCTCCTCTACGGCGGCGGCGCGACTACTCATGCATGCAGCCTCTTCCGGCACCGGGCCGGGCGCCGGCGGCTGTGCGTGGGGTGCCCCAGAAGCTTCCAGAACCTTCTGGAATCCGCAGCCGCAGCTGGGTTTCCCGCCTTATCTTGATGAGGAGGGGAAGCGGGCGGCGAGCGTGTGAGCGAGGGCGGCGTCAAGTTGCCAATTTGGGGGGGGGGGGGGGGGGGGAGTGAGGAAGAGATGGCGAGAGGAAGGAGGAAGGCGATATGAGGGGGCATCGTGGCCGTCCGATCTTTGATCCGACGGTGGAGGATTCTCGGGGTTTTCTGTGATGGGGTTCGAGCGATGCCAAATTGGCAGCCAAGAGGCATTGTTTGTTTCAGAAATGGATATCCGTAGAATTACTTGCGTGTTGAAGAATGTCAAATTTTGAATTGATATTTTCATAGTCAAGTGTATGTCGATAAAGCTCTATCTCTTTTGGAGTTGGAGCTCAACCAAACAGTTTCAGATTCACTTTATCGAGATGTTTATTACAAACGTCGAATGTATTAAGTTCATCGGTAATGTACGTGTTTTTTTTAATTGATGACGTCATTGATTTTAGAGATATGTTTAATCTTTGTCTTAATAAATAATATTGTGCAAATATAAAAAATATAGGTAATGCTTAGAGTACTTTCTAACGATGAAACAGGTTACGAGAAAATAAACGATAATTATATTTTTTTTTAATAAGAAGAGTGATAAAACATATGTTCCACAACGTTAAACATGTGAAGTTTAATTTACTACTCCCTCCGTTCCAAAATATAATATTTTTTAGATACAAACTAAACATACAATTGTTTAGATTTTGTAGGATCGATGGAATATTAATTTTAAATGATTTAACAGGGGATACCAATGTCCCCTTCAACAGCCGATCTTTTCGTGTAAAAGGTAAAAAAAAGTAGTACATTATCCTTCAGTGGCTACAACTAAAAATATAAATAGCCCTTTTTTCTTTCACAGGGAAAGATGCATGATGGATACGAAAGCTAGTAGATTAGAGGTAGCCGGCATGCATACGTGGCCCAAGCTTCACCAGCGACCCGGATGTCTCCACGTATATGTTCGTGCCACTGCCTGCGATTCTCATTGGTTGCCAAAAAAAAATCTGATTATAAGTTATATTGGTTTATTATCGATCAGAAAATAATGTGTATGTAAAAATTTTATATATGTATTCTTAACGTATTAACAATCAATACTGAAAGAAACTATATTACAAATATCTTAAAATTAAAATTAAAATTTGCTTTATTTTTGGCTTTTTACAACCGATGGACTTTTTTTTTCTCTTTTCCCTTTTTTTTTTTGTGAAAGCTATGGATGGATGTGAACAAGAGAAAATCATGTACCCCATTGGTCTTGTACACGTGTGGTCTCTCGCTCGAGTGAAGTGGCTTGGTTACAACAAGGTAGGGATAGTTACTTTCCTCTGTGAGTCTATTACATAGATTTTAGACACATGGATGTAAACCAGTGGAACAAATTATCAGATGTACTATAACAATTGAATTTAGTAGGTCATCAGGGGAGAATATCAAATCAACTATAGCTTTGAACCAATCTGATTTAAGAAATACTCCCTATGTTTCACAATGTAAGTTATTCTAGTATTTTCCATATTCATATTAACATTAATATGAATATGGAAAATACTAGAATGACTTATATTGGGAAACGGAGGAGGTATCTTCTAGTGGTTAATTAAGTGAATACAACCGGTTGCTAACGAAGTATAACTCGTTGGTCACCACCTGCATCTTCATATTCATATTCTCATAGCTAAGCCTCATCGGGATCCTCATCACCACAATTATGTATGTTCTTTTCAAACACATCAATAGCCATGCATGAGGATTTTTGTTTGTGCTAGATAATTGTACCGACTCTCTATTAAACATGAAAATATCAAAACACATAAAGTTCGATGCTGCATATATATGTATATATATATACATATATATATATATGTATATATATACGTATGTATATATATATATACGTATGTATATATATGTATATATGTATGTATATATGTATATGTATATATGTATATATGTATATATGTATATGTATATATGTATATATATATGTATATGTACATATATATATATATATATATGTACATATGTATATATATGTATACATATATATATATGTACATATGTACATATGTATATATATGTACATATGTAGATATATATATGTATATATATATATACATATGCATATATATATATACATATATATATTTGAACATATTAAGGGGAAAGATAATAATTTGCCTGACATGCTTTCTCGTTTACCTGAATTGCAGGTATGAAAAGATCAATGAATTACAGCGGAATTGAATGCTTCACATTTGGAGATGACAACAAGCTCAGAATATTCCCACCAAATTCATATAAATTTAAACCAAAAGACCATATAATCTTAGATGAAGTGCAAGAATGCATCTTGGATAATTTTTGGTACCAATACAATAATAAAATGGAAGAAAAAGGATATATGTTATCAATATTGAATAGCCTCTCTGAATATTTTCACTTAATAAACGGGTTATTAATGCCAGCTAATGAAGATCATGAAATAATCCAACAGAAGCCTATATATGTCGTATTTGATGGAAAGCTCCCAGGGGTCTATATATCTTTTGAAGAAATTGTGGCCCAAAAGATAGATGCTAAATTAATGGGAGGAATATCTTGGAAGAAATATAAAGACATTGATGAAGCACTAAGCCAGCCTAGAAAAATACTAGGAATAAATTATTATCTAGAGCCTGCTGCAAAAGAATATATTCAAAAATGCAAAAAAGCTAAAGGAAACAAGACTCCAGAAATACCCATTAAAACGACTATAAAAGAAGAAGGGTATTCTAAAAAACCCACATACAAGGAATGCCTAACAAAAGGAGTGGATCCATTAGATGGGGAATATATTGATTAGAAAATAATAGAAAATTTTGAAGAAGCCTCCCCACAATTAAAGAAGGAATTAAAGGAAGAAATACTTAAAGAATTAAAACAAGAAATGGATCAGAAGTTTGAACAAATAAAAAAGGCAGTAGATGAGAAATTATAAGTTTCTTTTTCTGATCTAGACACTATGGATCTTGGTGGTCATGGGCAACCAGATGAATAGAATTCTTTAAGCTAAATATGTTTTTCAATATATATTGATAATAGAATATCAACAATTTGGGCGTGGAAGAAGAATAAACGAAGATTTCAGAAGACTACTCAAGAAGGAATCCAGAAGGACACCCTATAAAGCATAAAGGAACAATATAGGGTGCGGTGAATGACATATCCCTGTGAATAATATAATTTTCGGCAACTTTCGGCGGTGAATGACATATCCCTGTGAAGAATAAAACTTTCGGCAGGAAAGGCCTCAACTTTAGCCTGCTCTCGTGAATCCACAGTAGCGAAGAGATAAGCAGGAGGCACAGACGACGCCACCCCTGACCTCTATAAAAGGAGGGGCCTGCCCAGCTGAGGAGAAAAACAACAACAAAGACACCATTCAGAGCAAAGCTTCCAAGCGCGCTCTCACCCTTCATTCCACCGTTCTTAGTAGTAGTGACTTTAGCCTACCTTGCATAGTATATTGAAGCAAGGAGTTGTGTTATAACGCTGTGTAAGGTAAGAACAGCTTGCTTGTACCTACCTTCGGGTTTCCCGAAAGGGAAAACTGTATGTAAGCTTATCTGTTTAATATGAAGTAATTTTCCTTAAGTATTCCTGCACGTTTGTTCTAGACAAGTGTTTATGCTAAGGACCCTATAGGAGAAACCTCTTCGGTTTGTTTTCGTTTTTAGCCTGCATCTTGCATAGGCGTCTGGAGAATCGGTATCCGTAGAGAAGTGTTCCCTTCGGGTGGAACTGCCTGGGGAGACGATAAACTCTTAGCTAGAATAAGTGTGACTTGGAATATCTTTTTAAGTTGCTTCTAAAAAGACAGATAAGTGAGGCATACGGTGAGTACCGAGTAGGACTTTACATCATCTGAAACAAGCTTCTGAGGCTGTCTAAGTAGGATTCGCCACCCTGCAAAGATCCTAAAGTTAAAATATCTCTCGAAGTGAACAGTATTGAACAGTAATTTGAACAGTAAACTGAATAGTAATCAGTCGAATAAACAGTAAACTGAATAGTAATCAGCCGAATAAACAGTAAACTGAATAGTAATCAACCGAATAAATAGTGTTTTTGAACAGTGTATATTGTCTGAAGTATAAGTGGTACATATACATACATACATACATATATATATATATATATATATATATATATATATATATATATATATATATATATATATATATATATATATATATATATATATATATATGCATATATATATATATATATATACATACATGTATATGTATATACATATATACATATATATACATATATGTATATATATACATACATATATACATATATATATACATACATATATATATATACACACACACACATTGCCACTAATCTATGAAAATAAATAAGACTAGTGCATAAATTAACACTCTATCAAGAACACATGTTCTGTTCCCGTCACAATTCCTGCACCCTTAAGTAACTTGGTCTAAAACATAAAAACGATGCCACTCCTTAATAGAAAACCTATTGATTTTGTTAATAATAATAGTGGTAATAAAGAACCACTCAATCCATCCGGAAGAACAATCACAACATTTAGATTTTATTTGTAAAACATTGCACACTATTAAAATCTCAATAAAACCACACATTATTTTTTATTTATAATAATATATTAGACATCACCATTCCTTCAAAGAAAAAAAACTCAAGAAAAAAAATCCTTTTAAAAAAGTACAGAAAGTGCAGCCACCTGAAGATGACCCGAGTGGCCACAACATTAACACATCTCAGCAACTCAGCAGCCGCATCGCCCATCCAATGGCCACGCGGACCGCCACGTGGCCAACAAACCCATCCGACCTGGCCCCATCCTAGGGCCCCACATGTCATACTCCAACCCGTTCCCCCTTCCCCCTTCTCTCTCTCTTCCTCATAGTCCCCGAAGCAAACACCCCCACTCACAACCTTACCCACTCACTGCCAGTGGGGCCACACCAAAACTGGGCCCACATGTCAGTCACTTTGAGTAGAGCGAGTAGGGGTATTAAGTGGAAACATTGGGATTATTTCCTTTTTTCTTCCTTCTCTGCCTTGCTTGCTCGGGCGTCTTATCTCGCGGCGCGTTCTTGGTGGCCATCCAATCCAATCGAATCCGCGCGAAATCCAATCCCTAATCCCGCATCTTATCGTCCCAAATCATCGCCCCGAGGTTGGCCCCGCGATCTTGGGGTGAATTGGTGGCGGTGGTGATGTGGAGGAGTCCGTGATCTTGGTTGGTGGGGTTGGGAATTTGGGAGGTGTTTGATCGGGTTTGGGAGGAGTCCGGCGACGATGGCGACGCCGACGCACTTCACGCCGTCGCAGACGCACGCCGCGGCTTCGCACCACCACCCGTCCGCGGCGGCGGCGGCGAGCGCGGCGTCCGCGCGGCTCCACGCGTCGGCGCAGCCGGCGTCGGCGGCGGCGTCGGCGTCGGCCGCGGCGGCGGCGCTGTGCCCGCCGTTCCCCGCGGCGGGGGCGGCGTGCCCGCCAGCGCAGGGCCCCATCTTCGGCGGGGGGCCCGGGGCGAAGCCGTGGGTGGTGCAGCAGCAGCAGCCACAGCGCGCCGCGGCGGCGGCGCTGGGGCCGGAGTTCAGGCGCGCGCGCTCCACGAGGAACATCTCCAAGCGCAGCCGCGGCGGCGCGTGGGGCGCGCAGGACCGGGGGGGCGGCGCGCGCGGCGGGCCCTTCTCCGCCGCCGCGGGGCGCTGCGTGGAGAAGCTGCTCCGCGTGGCGCCCGACGACCGCCGCGCGCTCGGCGCGGCCCTCGCCTCCTCCCGCGGCGAGCTGGTGGCTCCCGATGACTACTGCCATGTCCTGCGAGAGCTCGGCGACCGGGACAAATCCGCGCTCCGTGCGTTCGAGGTGTTCCACGCCGCGCTGCCGCATGTCGGCAATGGCGCCGTCGACAAAGGCAAGCTCCTGACTGCTTCCATTGGTGCGCTCGGCAAGATGGGGAGACCAGACCTTGCAAGGAGAGCCTTCGATGATGGCGTTGCGGGGGGTTACGGCAACACGGTGTTTGCGCATTCGGCTCTAATTTCAGCGTATGCAAGGAGCGGTCTTGCGAATGAGGCCATGGGGGTGCTCGAGTCGATGAAAGGTGCAGGACTGCGGCCTACCACGGTGTCTTACAATGCGGTGATTGATGCGTGTGGTAAAGGCGGCGTCGACCTTAGGTTCACACTTGGTTATTTCCGGCAGATGCTGAAGGATGGGCTTTGTCCGGACCGGAAGACTTTCAATTCGCTTCTCGCTGCATGTAGCCGCGTGGGGCATTTGGAAGATGCCCGTGCTGTCTTTGATGAAATGATCCATCTTGGCATTGGGCGTGACATATACACGTACAACACGTTTATTGATGCCATTTGCAAGTGTGGAAACATGGAGCTTGCTATGCAGGTTCTGTTGGATATGGAAGCGAAAGGCGTTAAGCCAAATGTTGTTACATACAGTACACTGATTGATGGATATTCCAAGTTAGAGAAGTACGAGGAGGCACTCAAGTTGTGTGAAAAGATGAAGTCTATGAGAATTCAACTGGACCGAGTTTGCTACAACACCTTGCTGGCTATTTATGTGAAGGCAGGAAAGTATGCTGAAATTGCTAATGTCTGTGACGAGATGGAAGAGCTGGGGATTGAGAAGGACACTGTCACCTACAACTCTTTGATTAATGGGTATGGAAAGCAGGGACGCTTGGATATCGTTTCTATCCTTGTTCAAGATATGAGGAAACGGGGGGTAGCTCCTAGTGTATTAACTTATTCAACTTTGATAGATATATATTCAAAGGCAGGGATGCATGGAGATGCATTCAATGTCTACTTGGATTTTAAGGAGTCAGGCCTAAAGCCAGATGTTGTTCTATTCAGCTCTTTCATTGATACATTGGCCAAGAACGGCTTGATAGAGTGGGCTTTATCTCTGCTTAATGATATGACGGAGATGGGTATCAAGCCAAATGTGGTTACCTATAATGCAATAATCGATGCATTTGGCAAGTCAAAGGTTATGATGGAGGATGATTCTGAAGTTGGTGACATGGGTATTGTTGGGGTTTATGGTGGCCAAATTGTTAGGGTTGCTAATCCAGTGTCTAGAGGAGGGCGTTCTGCAACTGATGTCCGGATGAGGAGGTCACAGGAACTGTTCTTCATTCTAGAATTGTTTCAGAAGATGGTCCAGCAGGGTGTAAGGCCAAATGTTGTAACTTTTTCTGCAATCTTAAATGCTTGCAGGTACATCTTCGTCTTATTTTGTTAAAGTCTTTAACTCTAATGAGGTTCTGATCCTGTAGGTATTATTTAGTTATTTTGACAGGAAAAGAAAAAAGAGTATAACTCTCCTGGTGTTGTTCTTGTTGAAAGTTCAAAATTTTTTGCTTTATCATGCTTGAAACTAGAATACGTTTCCCTCAACAACTTAATAACTAATTTCAGTATGGAATATTTATTTTTTGTCAATTGTCAAACATTAGTCTTGTTCTATGACTTCTTTTTCTGTCTTAATACTACTAGAAAGGGGGTAGGCTGTATGTGTCTTCATGATCTCACATGCGTTTTATCCCCAAAAAATTGAAAACAGAAAAGACAAGCCTATGTTTATCTAGGAAACTAAGCTGTTATATCTGGTGTTTACATAGTCATATCTGGTGTTAACTGTTTGCTTTGATGTTGTTTTTGCAGTCGCTGTAATAGTTTCGAGGATGCAGCCCTGTTACTGGAACAACTTCGCTTATTTGATAACTTTGTCTATGGTGTTGCTTATGGTCTTCTGGTCGGTTCTCGAGAAGTTTGGTCACAAGCTCAATCGTTATTTAATCAGTTAGGACGCATGGACTCTCCAACATCCTCTGCCTTTTACAATGCTCTTACTGATGTGCTATGGCATTTCGGCCAGGTAGGATTTGCTTCCGAATCTTCTGATCACTAATATTTTGTGATAATCATAATTTCAAGTCATTGGTTTCATTCTAGAAGAATAAATAGTCTCGTGGGAGTGTTTGGTTAATACATTTAGTTTTCAAGTTTTTCTATTATTTTTCATCTCAATTCCTTTTTAAACACTTATTTTTTTCCTTTATTTGAGAAAGAACAATCTCAGTCTTGTCCTTGATTTACTTGTATTTTGGTTTTTTTTGCTAATATTAACTACTCCGTTTCATATTATAAGTCGTTTTGACTTTTTTTCTTAGTCAAACTTTTTAAGTTTAACCAAGTTTATAGAAAAATATAGTAGTATTTCCAACACAAAACAAACATATTATTAAAATATATTCAATGTTAGATTTAGTGAAACCAATTTGATATTTCATATGTTGCTATATTTTTCTATAAACTTGGTCAAACTTAATAAAGTTTGACTAAGAAAAAAGTCTAATGAGTTATAATATGAAATGGAGGGAGTATTTTTATTTGGTGCGAGTGACAACATGAAATTTCCATTGAAATTTGTTTTTGGACAAAAATTCTGTTGAAATCCTCTGCTGGTTTTTTCTTTTGATAACTTGGTGGGTAGTTATTTGAATTAAACTATCTTATGTAGAGCAGCAAGCATTGCTTGCCATGTGAAACCCCCTTTTAGTTATATCTGCAAGGATTATTCAGGTTGGTAATTATCATGACATATTTGTGTCACTGACCATTTTCAGAGGCGAAAAGCTCAGCAAGTTGTGTTTGAAGGGATAAATCGTCGTGTCTGGGAGAACACATGGGGTGAGTTTTGCTTGGACCTGCACCTTATGTCATGTGGTGCAGCTCAAGCAATGGTCCATGCCTGGCTCCTGAATGTGCGCTCTATCGTCTTTGAAGGAAGAGCTATGCCTGAATTTTTAAGGTGCGTGGTCCTAAAGTTCAAGAACAGATTTTCCTTCCTGTTCTTTGTCACATTGATCACGTGTCTGCAAGATATAGAGTTTCAGGATATAATATTTTTTGGTCTGGTTGTATGTTATTAAGCAGCTGTGTGCCTTTGTGCACTAAATCTAAGTTTCTGTACATCTCTACAGCATTCTTACAGGGTGGGGAAAGCATAGCAGGATTGCTGGTGCAAGCACCCTCCGCCGTGTCATTGAAGCACTGCTCAATTCAATCGGAGCGCCGTTCCAGGTGGAGCGGTTCAACATCGGAAGGTTCGTGTCACCCAGCGCTGTGGTGGCAGCCTGGTTGAGAGAATCGGGCACCTTCAACATCCTTCTCCTCCACGACGAGCGGGTTCAGCAAGCAGCCCCATCCAATCTGGTACCGAGGTTACAAGCCTTGCAGTTGTAGCAAAGCCCCATAGGGCAGGCTCGCCCTTCCTTGTAGTGTTGTATCTGTAATCCTTCCAATTCTTCTTAAGTTCATCTTCTCACTTTCAGAAAGATGTAGTTGTATCATAGGCGCAGCGGTTAGCTTCTCTTCTGCTAAAAAAATCTTACTACTGTCAGCCAGCAATGTTGTAAATTTTGGCAATTCTGCCTTTCAAACTCCTTTTCATCAAGAGGGGAAATTTCAAAGAATACCAGAATCCCTCCAAAGGTATCATCAGCATATCATATCACTTCCAGAGAGTCTGTTTCTGTTGCCATTGACAGCAGCAGTGTATGAGATGCAGTTAAGGTCTCCTGTTCTTCTGGTTTGTCTGATGAAAGCTACAGCGGCAATGGAATGGATGCTGCTCTTTCCAAGATGCCAGCTTTGCTCAAGATGCAAAGATATAATCTCTTCCAGGCGATTGGATTGAAGCATATATTCCATGGTAACTAATTGCAGAGAATCCAAACACCAAATAACAATCCAGGTTTTTGACAGGCCATCACATCATTTCACAGCTATTCCTTGCAATCCCCCTTCTCTTTTCCCCCCTTTTAAAAATTTAGGTTTTATACTGATGTTTGGATATAACAATTTTTACTGCAAATTCAGTGGATGCCACAATTATACTGAAAGATGAAGGTTTAGTCTGCGTTCTTCCCCCTTCTTTCACAACTTATATCTCTTATTTTTTACACGCACGCTTTTCAAACTACTAAACGGTATTTTTTTTTGAAAAAAAACATATTAATTTATTTTTAAGTTTTTTTAGACTAATACTTAATTAATTATGTGTTAATGGTAACACCATTTTTCGAACTCCGAAACTCAGCCTTAATTAACTTGGCAAGATTTGCAACGCGTTATCTATGGCAGACAAAAGTTCCTGACGCTTTGTCATGTTTTGTCTTGATTATTCACATGGCATTGTGATCATCGGTTGTCCCAAGTCATGATCCAGCTCACAAGAATTATAAAGAAGCACTAGAAGAATTATAAAGAAGTCTTTGGTTTTGCTCGCCGTGATTAGTTCATCTCTCGTCGTTTTCCTTTTATTTTAGACGACTGGGCTTCGCGTCTTCTTTTAAAGCTCCATCCACTGTTACTCCCCCACTGTAATGACATACTTCATCCACGAATAATATTTCTATATAATATATATAATTCGTATTGATTTAATAAGATATGTTTACATGTTCACCACAAATAATACTTTTATAATATACAGTATATAATTTGTATGGTCAAGTAATTTGAAACGGAATATTATACGTTTCGAATAAGATCTCTGGTCAATCTTTTAAACAATGACAATTAACAACTTTTAACGTACTATCTTAAACTTATCATATTTTTATAAACTTATTCTAATATATAAAATTATTATCAAAGTTATGTATAGAAGTCCGTAAAAACGTAAAACGTCATAGTATATCTTTGACTAAAGCGAGTAGTAATTTGTATTTTCTTCATGGTAGGTTATTTTTCAGTGGTTTGCATTTGGTTTGATTCCCGAAGGTAAAACGAATCTCTTGTTGACCTCCTCTGTCTTTTTTTATGTCTCCGTATTCCATAATTACATCCACGTACGCATGTTATCCAGTAATTGCAGTCATGGCTAGTCAATTAAACGAGATTTGGTATCGAGGGTCTATTTGAAGAAGTTTCTGGTAACTGCAGTTTCTCATAGAATCTATAGTTGGTAGAAGCTACTCCAAACATTTTAGATTTTCACCTAGATTAAAAGAATTTGTAATTGTAGAATTCATAAAATGAAATAGAAGCCAGAAGCTTCATACTATCACCAGCCGCTTTTTAGAATAAGCTCCCCAAATAGAACCTAAGACTATGATTGTTATATCTCCAAGCGCAAACAAGCAAACGCACTAATGTTAATTAAACATAGACACATGTGTTTTCATCCCGAGATAACAAAAAACTCGCAAAAAAGAAAGATATGCTTTGCTAATGTGAAAAGCTCGATCAAAAGAGTTGGTAGACCTAAAGAGGCCAGCTAATGGAGCGATGCCACAACTGCCACTGCAATTGTTCTTTTTTTTTTTTGGTGTTGGTGAAAAGATAGATTAAAGCAACTTTGTGGTGTGAAAACATAAATAGTGGTGGAGTACTTTCATTTTGACCGAATGATAGTGGGATACATGTATTCATGAATTTTGGTCCAATTCAATATAGGTTGAGAGAGACTTGTATAGTTGCATTCATAAATTTAGGTGCAGTATAATATAGATTGACAGAGACTCTCATATTATTCACACATAAACCCAATCAAAAGTCTTCCTCTCCCACGTACTATCCCCTCACTTTCGTGTAATTGTGCTTTTAGCTAGGCTTATAAGTTTCGTTAATTTAACTAAGTTGTATCTCGCGAAGGTAATGATCATGAAGTTATAGAGCTGTCGTGTCAGCTAATCGAGATGCATGGTAACGATGCGTGCAGATCCTCTGCAGTACTGCTGGTGTAGTAGCAGTGGCTGACATGTGGGTCAGGCAATCTCCGTTGGGTAACGATGGCATGAGTGCAGTAGAGTTGGCATTAGCACAAGGCAAGTTACCAACCATATTTTCATGGCGCTTTAAATTAAAATTGGAGATGTCTGATCACGGTTAGGCGATGCCGACAACCTATTGGTATTTTGAGTCTTCTAGTTGATCGGTGTGGCTATATATACATGCTAAGAGTACTTGTTTGGTATAGTTTGGTAGTACGATTATTATGGGGGTTTATTTTACCATATGTTTGTTAGAAATTTACCTATAAATTAGCAAATATCATGAATTCCAAAGCATTCTCTATATCCCATTTTATCAGCCACTAGTGATAAATTAATGAGGTTAATTATCATATGATTTTGTAGTCAAGATGACTGGTCATTTGATAAGCCATTATCATTCATTTGAGTTAAACCAAAGGAGAGATCAAAGTCATTTATCGTTGGGATAACCTCTTGGCTGATTATTCGGTTGATTATGGTGATAATAGCAGCAATTATCAGTGGATAATGGCTGGCTATGTAAGTAGTAAATCCTACTTGGATATGTATAACTTTCAATTATTTCCGTTACTTCCAGAGAATTTGTTTTGCAATCATTGACTACATGCCCTTTTGTCTCCAGGTAATATCTGGAGTTTTACGCATGGTTTCTCCAACACATTTTGTCAAGTTTAATACTTTATATATACTTTTTATATAACGCCTTTAATTTTCAGTGTGTTTTTTTAAGCATCAGGTTTGGATATTGTTTTTCTTTTTGGAATAAGTTAACTGCAGGATACGTAGGTCCTCTTTAGCATAGCTCCAAATTCAAGATTTTTAGAAGCTGAATATTTCAAGCTCCACAAATCCATGTATTTAGATCCTCAATTATGTCTATAACATTTGGATAAATCATTTTACACATATTTTAAATAAAACTTAAAAATTTAAATCTGTCGTGGATCTAAGACCTAACCCGAGGCTGTGTTCATGGAAAACAGAGTGATCCATTAGTACATGATTAATTAATCATTAGCCGAGGAGTGAATTAGATACTCCCCCGTCCAAAAAAAACGAATATATGACTGAATGTGACATATTCGAGTACAATAAATCTGGACAGAGGTATCTCCAGATTCGTAATACTATGATGTGTCACATCTAGTATTAGGCTGGTTTTTTACGGTACGAATGGAGTATCAAAGAAACGAACTCAGCCTGAAAGTTGTGGCAAACATGACCGTGATTCGTCACTAGTAGAAGGGGTTGGCCGCAAAAATTCCATCTTTTTTGAAACGGCGGTTCCTTTCCCTTCACTCTCGTCGTGCTTGCACTTCTCCTGCTCCTAATTAATCAATTAATTAATCAATTAACTCCAGACTAGCCGAGTCCTCGTCGTCTTCCTCCTCCTCCGCATCGCATCGCATCGCATCCCACCCCCCACGCGGAGAGAACATCGCCAGCAACGCGCGCTTCTCCCCCTCCCCTTCTCCCCATCCCATCCAATCCATCCATGGCGGAATGCTCCATTGATCACGACCAGTAGCTTCCTACAACCCCAGATCGGGAGGAGGAAGAAGAAGAAGCAAGAAGCAAGAAGAAGGAGACGCCGTCAATGGGGAGCTACGCGTACAAGTACTGCATGTGCTTCACCCGCAAGTTCCGCTCGCCGGCGGCCGACCCGCCGCCGGACGTCCGCGCCGCCTTCCTCGCCGCCGGCGGAGGCGACGGCGGGCTCCGGCGGTTCCTCGCGCAGGCGCAGGGGGAGACGCCGGCGGAGGTGGACCGCATCCTCGCGCTGCTCAGCGGCGGTGGCGGCGGCGGCGGAGGAGGAGGCATCGCGGCCCGCCTCGTGGGCCCCCGGCCCGGCCCGGCCCCCTCGCTCGACGACTTCTTTGGGTTCCTCTTCAACGCCGATCTCAACCCACCCATCGCCACCCAGGTTCTTATTACTAATTCTTACCAACCACTTTTTACTCATTTTTTTGTCGAAGAAATTAAATAGCTTTGCTCATTTTTACTTGGAAAAAAGGCTGCCATTTTTCTTTTCACAGTAAGCTCAGAAGTTCAGGAAACCAATTTTTCCTTTTATTTTTTATTTGTGCTCTGTTTCATTATGCAAATGAAAGGCCAATTCTGTTCGGTTACAAATTTTGGTTGATTTTCAAAACTAAATAACTTTTTACTCGTCTTTTGTCAAAAAAAAATAACTTTACTCATTTTTACTTGGAAAGGCAGCCGTTTTTCTTTTCACAGTAAGCTCTCAAAAGTTCACATTATTATTTTTGTTGGTATAGATATGTACTCTATTTCATTAAGCGTATGAAAGCATGCCAATTCTGTCCGGTTACTAATTTCGGTTGATTTTCATTTCTGTCACACCAGGTTCACCAGGACATGTCGGCGCCGTTTTCGCACTATTACATATACACCGGGCACAATTCCTACTTGACTGGGAACCAGCTGAACAGTGATTCCAGCGACATTCCGATTATCAAAGCATTGCAGAGGGGTGTCAGGGTGATTGAGCTCGATATGTGGCCGAATTCCGCTAAGAACAACATTGACATTCTTCATGGAGGGTGGGGGGTTCTTATTCCTTAACACATTGACTTTGTAAATCTTTATGTCTCCTTACCTTGCAAGTTGCCATATGCTTGGAATGGTACCAACCTATCTTAATCCATGATCTTTCTTTAAAGAAATGACCCTCAGAGCTTGACTCTGTTTGTTGAATAGATTTTTGT